ATATATATCTTTGACAGCATCACTTAGATAATATCAAGATAATATCAAAGTTCTTGCTGAATTATTAATCAAAACCAATTTGGATTTAGATGCTAGTTAAACAGCCTTTAATTTAACTTGAGGGTATAGCTCGGTGGCTACTACTTGCTCAGCATTCAGAATTCCTGAGAGTCCATCTCCAGCCCTGAAGGTAGATGATAAATAACCTTGGATTTAAGTCATCTCGAGTTTTACAACTTTAAAGAAGACTGCATCTTAAAACAGAAAATAGACAAGGATTTTTATGTAATTCGATATTATGTTTACTCTATCAATGTTTATGCCAGGTATTTTAAAAGTTACCAAACACAAACAAGTACTCTAGGCTGATATGGTCACTTACACTGTAGCCCCTGATCTCAGAGGCTCGGGCTCAGGCTCAGACAGTAGGATCCGGAGCTCTAGCCCAACCTGGGCTATAGAGCAAACCCCTGAATCAGAGGGAAAACACCACCACCACCACCATTTCTAGCTCTTGTGAATAATGAAAGGTGTTTAGTCTATTCATCTACAGGGTGTCCTTGATCCCACCCAGCTGTGATTCTGAAAAGTTTCTTTCTTGGTATATCTTCTCTGCACATCAGATTCACGCTCTCGGATTCCCAATTCCTAGCTAATGTACACGAACATGAGCTTTGAACTAAGACAGCATTAATCTGCGAAAGAAGGGGCCTGCCTCTGAGGTGACTATTGCGATGGCACCAGGCTCAGCCACAGAGGACAGCCAGGCTCTAAGGAGTACACCAAGAATACAAAACAGCTGCGAAGGCTTTTTACATGGGGATCTGATGGTAATGCTCTTTGGGGGTGTCACATGTTTCCACATTTCTCATTTTAAGAGAGGAGAGAATTTGCTCTTTCAATTTATTCTTTTTATTTTATTTATTTATTTATTTATTTATTTATTTATTTATTTATATTTTTTTTATTTTTTATTTTTGCAGTTTATCCTTATTGCCTGGTGATAAAGTCTTTTACTGGCTAAATAAACCAGCAGGTATGCATGCTTAGGGAACCTTTAATCGATAGCACGTTCACACAAGTTTGGAAAAACAGTCCAAAGTGAATAAACACAACAAAAGCTGGCAGATGAGCTTAGTGTTTAGAAGTTAAGGCAGGTTGCACGTTAAAACTGAAAAGAATGAAATCAGAGGTCATTACTAAGTCCCGAAGATTCAAGGCAACAATAACTTTACTCATTTAATAATCTTGGCAGTGACATCAATAAGCCAGATTATTACATAAGCCCTCCAGATTAGTTCTATTTCTCCTAATGACAAAAGATTCATAATACTGTTAGTTTATTAGAATATTATTTGGTAAGGCTTTCCTGATTTTGAGCAAAATTACAAATTAGTTCTCACTGAGTAAGGTGTTTTTTTTTTTCTTTTGTTGTTGGCTCAAGTTTAGTTTAATTTGGCTTGTTTTCGCTCTGTATCCAAGACTGGCTTTGAATTTGTGATCCTCCTGCCCCAGCTTCCAGCTGAAACTATAGACATGTGCCATCATTAATTGCTTTCTAGGAATTTTTTCTAGTCTTCCCAACTGGAACTCTAACTCTCACCTTCCCATTTCCCTCTATTCTGGACATTCTCATCTATGAGTTGACTACTCTAGGTATTTCGTCTAAATGGAGAGCATTTATCCTTTTGTGTCTGTCTATGTCACCGAGCATAATAGCATCAAGGTTCATGTATGTTGTAGCATACAACCAAATGTGACCTTTGGAAAAAAAAAAAACCTTTAATGTTAGAGGTTCAACTTTTGCAATTTTTAACCCTGGGAGTGTAGGGCCTGGCAGTGTAACTCAGTTGGCAGAGTGCTGGCCTGGCCTGCATGAGGCCTTGGGTTCCATTCTCAGCACCTGTAACCTCAGAGCTCAGGAGGAACAGAGACACACGATTGGGAGTCTGAGGTCGTGCCAGGCTAAGCTGTCCCAGACCAGAGAGCTTGGGGCTCAGCAATAGCAGGGGAATCCAGTGTGCGCAAAGGCAGATTGATTTGGAAGAGAAAGGGAAGCAGTGGGTTTGAGACTGCCTGGGAGCAGGATTACAGGGTCACTGTGAAGATGGAAGATACAGAGCCTGGATTGTGTCTCTGGAAGACGAGAGTGAGACAAGGCGTGAGGCGTTACGCGATTCCTAGTCCTGGGCAATTCTAATCCCAGGGTTCAGAGAAGGCCCTGGGACTGGAGAGAGGAGAAAGCAGGCACTGAGAAACAGTGATGCTAAAGAAATCAACAGGCAGCTAGCGATGTTCCTCTGAGGAAAGACTAGTATGGACAAAGCCAGGATTTGTGGAAAGCCCTGAAGGCAGGAGCTTTAGAAAGACAACCATGTGCTCACATAAACAGAGAAAATGATTAAGCAGGCTGAAGCCCTAGGTTTATATGGAAGACATTATAATGAATCACAAATACATAGCAGCATTTTGTTACTTAGGGTTTTTATGAGATTTTTAAAAAACATTTTTAAAGGTTTTACTATGTGGCCCTGAGCCCGTGAACACTCTCTCCCCCGCCTCTTAACCTCTTGATTCCTAGAATTGCAGGGGTGTACAACACATCTGGCAATATGGGGACATTTTAAATTGCACAGTTTTATGCTTGGGCCAAGAGGAGCACAGGCCTCTTAGCCTGCTTGCTGGGCTGTGTTCACCCTGGTTCTTCTGGAAGCAGCTTGGAAAAGGTGCAAGGCCCAGGGGCTGCATTTCACTGTATGTCTCTTGCCGCGCACGTGTATATCTTTTTTTTTTTTAAAGAAAGGCATTCATTATCGCTGTTGTTGTGTGCACCGTGTGTGGGTGGCTGCACATGCTATAGCACACATGGTGAGGTCACAGCACTACGGTGAGGTCACTTCTCTCGGCCCACCTACATGTGTCATCTGGGGATCAAACTCCCGTCATTAGGTTTGTGCCAGGTGCACCTTTATCCTTTGAGCCGTCCCCACTGGTCCCATCTGCAAATCTTTAAAATGCTCTAAATTTGGAACTAATCTAACTAAAATGGAGATAAGTCACCTTTGGGAGAGGGCATGGGCTACATATCAAAGAGTAAAGGAAAACGCCTGAAAAAAAATAGAGTATTATTAAAATGTAAAGTCATCCAAACTAGAGATATTCATAGACTTTGTATTTCAGCAGTGCAACAAGCCTATTAAACTCAACCTGAAATCTATTAAAAAAAACAACAACAACAACAAAAAACACTGACCCACTGACAGGGACATCCATTTTCCCTTCCCTGTCTCTTCTGTCCCACCCCTGACGGATGTGGGCACTTTCCCACAAAAATCACCGGCATACTTTTGTAAAGAAATCCAGCTTTCACCATCCTTTCTTACATTTACATTAAATACACTACACAATTCAAGGGCTGAGCAAAGTGTTTCAATTTAAGTTAACATTAGGCACTTTAAAACACTTAGGGGAAAAAAATCCTTTTTCCCTAAAAATCTTAAGTCATTTAGAGGTTGGGGCCTACTTCCTAGGGATAATTCCATGGCAGAGCAAACCATACGCTCTTCCTAAAAACTCCTGTAGAAATAGCTGTAGACATTTATTTTGGCCAACCACAATTTGGGGCACATGACAAATTTGTTCTGCCTTGCTAAATGTAGCAAGTCTGTTTTCATTTTTGCACTTACTTTTTTTTTTTTTTTTTAAAAGTCAGGGTCTGATGTAGCTCAACCTGGCCTTCAACTCCTAATCTCTGCTTTTGCCTCCCAGGGGCTGGGATAACAAACATGCTCAGCCATGCCAGGTGGTAGCCCTGCTTTAATTTATTTGTTAGCAATATCTTTTCTAGATTCTGCATTTGTCAGCCATGCCTTTCCTTACTATCACGTTCCTGCACTGCACATTATTTTATTTTTAAAAATACTCTTTAAAAAAATCAAGCCTAACTTGTTCTGATGAATGTTTTGTGAACATATAACTCCACCATTACTAAGTCACAGTGGCGGAAGGAGTAACAATTCTTACTCTTCTCAAGCAGCGGAATGCTGGTGAATACTGCCTGTATCCTTAAGCTAAAAAGGAGGGAGGGAAGAAGGGAGAGAGGGCAAATTGGCACTAACCTGAAAAGCCAAATTGCAGCAGATGTTGAGATCTGAAGGGAAATAAATTCAAGGTTAGAAAAGCTAGAAAAGCAAGGAAGGCACAGACACCATGGAAAAATGCAGGGACAAAGCAAGAAGCCATTGTTTAAGTAACCAACAAGAGGTGAGCAATACTGAGGTATTTTTAGAAGAGTATGGAGAAAACTACAGTGCTTGGATTCTAAGGTTTTGAAATTCAGGTTTTTAATATAATACACCAGAAAAAAAAAATTAAGTTGGACAAGAAAAAATTTTTGACCATTGTCTGACTTTAAAGATAGACTACAGAACTTTTATGTCTTAGTCTTCTCAAGTCTTTCAGGTATGAATTCCACACCCAGAATGTGCTTGCTGTCACAGGGCTACCTCCATTAGAGATGCTGTATCCATTCACGCCTGATAGCCCCACACCTGAAAGGCTGGGGAACTTCACAGGCACTCTGTTTTTGTTCAGTGCATGAGTGCTTGAATCTGCTTAACTGAGCTGTAATTAAAACAAGTCACACATAGACAAGGACAAACAACACTGACAGAACGGAAAACCTATCCTGCGTCTGTTTTAAAACCACTCCAGTGTAGGAGAGGCCTTGAAACCTGTGAGCAAAGGGAAGCTTCCATGTCCTCAGGGTCCTCCTCCTGAGTGAGGGGAGCGGTGGTGGTGTTGCTTCCCTCAGAAACGGGGACTACCCGGGTTGAGTCAGAAAATTTAAACACAGGCAGGCCTGATGGTGCACAACTTTAATCCCAGTACTTGGAGGGAGCCATGGAGATCTCTGTGAATGTGAGGCCAGGCTCTGCTCCACAGTGAGTAAGTTGCAGGACGGCCAGGAATACTTAGAGAAACTCTGTCTCAAAAAATCAAGGAAGAACTCCGGCCAAGGCCCATCCCATCAGCCTGGTGGCAGAGGCGCAGCGCTGTTACCCTCAGAACCCCCAATCATGTCACTGAGAGTGTCACCTGGACCGTGGCCTGTAGCCCTGCACTGCCCTGGCCTGCCTCCCCTCCACACACTGTGCACTGGATCTGCATTGCTGTCAATGCCCAAATTCACAGAGAAACATGAATTCTGTTGTTGTTATCAAACAACAGAAATGGGTGGGCTGGAGAGATGGCTCAGAAGTTAAGAGCACTGGCTGTTTTTCCAAAGGTCCTGAGTTCAATTCCCAGCAACCACATGGTGGCTCATAACCATCTATAATGTGACCTGGTGCCCTCTTCTGGCCTGCAGGCTTACAGGCAGAATACTGAATAAATAAATAAATGGATGGATGGATGGATGGATGGATGGATGGATGGATGGATGGATACATCTTTTTAACAAACAGAATGATTATTGAGACAGTCGGCATCAGCAATTTTGCTCAGGTAGCTTTGGGAGATGTTCTTACTGCTGAAGTTGGGACGGACAAAATTGAAAAAAAAAAAAGGAGATGAGTTTGGCGCGCTGGAGAGTGTGGAGGCAGCCAGTGAACCTGACTCTCTGTCAGGAGAGATAACTGAAGCCAGGAAAGCACTTGCAGAAAACCCAGGGCTCATCAGTGTATCCTGTTACAGGGATGGTCGGCTGACCAAGATGATGCCGAGCGGCCCTTCTGAGCTACGTGAGTTAATGCGTGAGGAAGCATATGGGAAATATACCCCTCCACCCCCAAATAAAACTGTGGGAAGTAGATGGCTGCAGCACGCTTGTCTGAAATTAGTGGAGGGTAGAAGACTTGAAGGAACTTTTGGCAATACTGATGGAAAGAAACTGTTCTGGCAGTGCTGCTTAAGAACCCCGCTTTCTAACAGGTGCGGATAAACGCAGTGTCAATATTTTTAATAATCCTGTACTGGCTACTTAGACTAGGCGTGAAGCTCTGGTGCTTAGAAATCTTGAGATCACCTGTAACGAAAAGTAGTTGTGAAGCTGGGTTTGGGGACAAACAACCCGTTAATCCCAGCACTCGACTGGCAGATATTAGGTCAGCCTGGTGTACATAACAAATTCCAGGCCAGCCGCAGTTACAAGATGAGACCTGCCTAGTGATTATAAGAATCCCATAATTCAGGGTAACAATGTTGTAAATCTCACATAACATTGTAACTTGCCCAGATCCACCACTGGATTTGGGTCAAAGGATCCAGGGTGCTTTCTCATTGGAAACGCTTGGGAGCATCTTCATGGTACTGTCTTAATTTCACGAACTGCTACGTCAGCAGTTGTTTTCCTGGAGTGGAGGTTTCTGGTTTCTTTGAAGACTCAGTTTTGTCATGTGATGTCTTGTTACAGTCTGGGCACGTGATGTTTTGCTGTGAGCTCTCACGTGCAAGGGGCATGACTTTGGCCAGCTGAGAACATCCGTGGTGGACTCTGTGGAGAGAAGATACATAGAGCCCCACCACCACCATACACACACTGAGACTTCACTTTTTGGATCAACATCACTGCGCTGATCTTCCTGCTTCAGTACTTGACTTCACAGAGAGAAACGTTCCAGAGATCTTCTCAAGGTAATCCAACTGAGTCTTGCAGCTTTAGCTGACTTGTGCTGATCTGTGTTGCTTCTCGGTGTTGGCCTTTGGACTGGACTGTGGTATTCTGACAACTGAGTTTGGTAATCTCCTAAATACCCATTGACCCTAATCAGCAGGAAGTAGATAAAAGCTGTCTATAGCCCTTTTCCCTATCAATCTCGAATCTAAGGTCAGGAGGTGGGAAGAGAGGTAAAGATGTTCAAGAACCCTAACTAAAGTAGATTTGGCGAGAAACCTAAGCCTATACTTTTCCACTGCAAAGCACTGGTTTTGCAAAACAGTGAGAAACAAAACATTCATCCTCTTTGTTCATCAAAAAAAAAAAAAATCAAACAAGAGAAAGAGAAGGAGGGAGAGGGAGAAAGAAAAAAGGAAAGAAAAGGAAAAGGAGAAAGGAGAGGAGAAGCTGTAATACAATGGAGTCATTCCTGGTCAGTATGCAGTGACCACTAGCTTAAATGGATCCTGCTAGGCCAGCAAGATGGCTTAGTGGCTGCTGTGGCCTGATGACCATAGTTTGATCCCCAGAACCTATAGTAGAAAAAGAAAACCAACTCCAAAAGTTATCCTCTGACTTGCACATGCATGAGCACGCAACACACACAACAATGAATACACAACAACAAAGCAACAACTGAGGGGTCTTACTGTGAGCCTTGTGTTCTCTGGAAAGAGCTAGCACACAGAAACCCAAGTTCCGAGTATATCCAGGAAAGAAGAACAAGGCAACTGCTACTAGCAACACTGAAGAGCTGGACCTTCAGATCAAAATGTAACTTCATTCCTGATAACCCCACTTCCACTCTGTGCACATTAACAGTTTAGGCTATAATAAGGTTCTATTTTTCCCCTATATTTAAACAAACAAACGAATATTACACTCGGTCCTATTACTTCTATGAGACTTTTGGCAAGTAGTTTGTTTAGCTTTCTGTGCCTTCATTCCTTTTCCTGTCTTACAAAGCAGCAGCAGCGTGCAATTATATGGTACAATTCCTGTTACTCCTACATCACCGTTAATGTATTTCTGCCAAGCATTTAAATATTTCACTTAAAAGCCACACTCTTCGGAATACCCAGCTTAATTCTTGGCTATGCCATGCACCAGTGTGGCAATCCTGAGCACACTGTCTAGCTAACCCAGTTCTCCTCTGGCCAAGTGGAAGCCATGATGCTATGCACACATCTCAACAGGGTGGAAACCAAATGTTAATAAAAACAAGGGCTTAAAAAAGAAATGTGGAAAAACAGAATCAATCGATGTTACATTTGTTTAAAGAGACCATTGGCTTAAAGCAAATCCTTGCTTGACTCTGAGAACAGACATGTAGGATTAACTAAATTGTACTCTGAAGCCTAGGTGCCGCAGCTGTTACATTCTTGCCATGTTATGGCAAGAATCTGCTCAACTGACTAGACTGCAGATAGCTGGACTGAATAACTGTCCATGTTTCAATTTTACGCCTCCAAATTGAGCTTTTTTTAAATGTGTTATGAGGGAATGTAAAGTTCCTGTTTACAAGTGAGCTGCTGCCAAGCCGGGCAGGAGGGACAGAACGGGGGAGAGATACGATGGAAAACAGACAGCCAGGGGCTAACGGCTTTTAGATTTTCTCTGGGTGTCAAAGATTCATTACAGTTCTAATTCCTAGGAAGGCCCCTTTCCCTTCTGTTCTGTACTCCTTGGAGTTAGCGATTGCTGACAGCAAGAACTTCTCATAAAAGTTGTACTGTAACTTGGGAGAAAAGGTATGAAAGGACCCTTTCCTTGTCAGCACAATTTAGGTGTGTAAAACTTGAATAAACTGTGATACTAATGGAAGGACTTGCAGGATGAACAAACATCTGTATTACAATTGAAATCTTGTTATACTCTAGAAGCATGCTACATTTTAACAAATAACATATTTAAACACAAATAAAGGACAAACAAACAAAAACTTTGATGTAGCCGGGCAGTAGTGGCTCATGCCTTTAATCCCAGCACTTGGGAGGCAGGTGGATCTCTGTGAGTTGGAGGCCAGCCTGGTCCATAGAGAAAGTTCCAGGACAGCTAAGGCTACACAGAGAAACCGTGTCTCAAAAAGCCAAAACCAAAAAACCCTGATGAAACCACTTAGTAGCAAGAGAGAAGAGAGAATATCAGTTATTTTACCAGCACACTGTAGGGCCCTTTGCCGCAGGTCAATGGCCTTGGCTACATGCATGGGACTCTAAACCGAGGCCATTTATTTCCTTACAATGGTTACTTGTTGATCAAATTTAGGCTACATATCTTACTATAAATTTATATGTGTCTATTTTTGTTTTTGTTATGGTTAACATTTATTGTAGAAGACAAAACTGAACATAAAGTACTGTGTAGGTCATGTCCTGCTTTGGCAGCTGTGAAAAGGAACTTTATGTGGACCTAATGTCCCATAGTCAAATGAACCACCCATCAGATGATGAGATGTGGGGTTAGAAATAAGGTCACATGGGTCCTCTTGTTCTTGTCACTTTAGAACAAGATCCAGTTCTCTTCAGAGTCCTCTCTCTGGTTGTAAGCCACGCCCTGAGCACTAGGACAGCAGGTGACCACTGTTGGGATCCTGATTGGAATGAACAGAAATCTGCAAGACAAGTAAAATGGGTTTCACCCTGGCGTGGCTGGAAAGAGCAGCTCCAGAGGGCTTTGCCACATTTGATGCCCAGTTCAAATCTCGGTTCTGAGCAAACTCAGTGAATGCCCTCCCCCCAAAAACAGCCCAGTCTTAGAGCCCCTTCTCTGTAGCTCAGTGTTGCTTCCTGCATCCACTGTGTTTGGTATACGTCTTATGAAAATGTCCCATAAGATCCACTCTTTGTGACTTTGACCTGGACCTCCCCTTAGAGAAGCCAAGAAAAGATGAGAGAGAGCTTGTTTCTCCTGCATGCATGGTTCTGCATCACATGCTGTTTCTGGAGTTGAGTGACAAGTGCTGCTGGGCTACTCAAGTCTCCCAGCTGTGCAATACCCATGACACACTCCAATCAACATCCTGCACTCTCCAAACCAAAAAGCAGCTCTTGAAGAACTACATTTCCCATTTATGGGCTTGTTTGCCTTGAAAGGTGATTCTGGTTTGAAAGTACAACTTGTTTACTCCCAATTACAAGTGGACTTAGGAACCCACTAATTGCCCCGTTAGCAGGCAAATGATCTACCATTAATCTTACAGCACATGAATGGGATATTTCTTTTGAGACTATCTGCCACAAAGCCAATCCATTTATACATGAACACAGTTTTCTTTAAAAACACAAAACAAACAAACAAAAACTAATGCTGACTGGCCATGATGATGCCTATAACCCCCGTATCTGAGAGGATGAACTAGAAAGATAAAAAATTTGAAACCAAGTCAGGGGTGGTTTGAAACCAAGTCAGGGCATACCACTTTAATCCCAGCACTTGGGAGGCAGAGGCAGGTGGATCTCTGTGAGTTGGAGGCCAGCCTGGTCTACAGAGTGAGTTCCAGGACAGCCAGGGCTATATAGAAAGACCCTGTCTCAAACAAACTAACAAACCAGCCTGGGCTATATAGTAATATCTTACCTCAAAACATTTTGTAATGAACAGGTTTTCTCATACAAGTCAATCATCTTGGTGAAGATTTCTGTGATTTAAAGTTTAAAAATAACTAATTCAATGACCATTGTTGAGTCAAAGAAAATAGGCGCTGAACTGCCAATTTCAAAGTACAGGGTGATGAGAGACAATGACAGCGAATGAAACTGAATTGTCATCCTCATACTCAGTATGGACCAGTTGGTACCAATAAGAAAAGTTACCAAATCACTGTCATTTTTAGACACATTTTCAGTCATCAGACTAACACGGCCCAAGTTATGTCAATCTGTGGCCGTGCTACAATCCTACACCCAACATCTGTTCTTACAGGTAGCATCTCAGGGTTCTGAGTGATATGAAGACACAGCTCCTCTTAAGGCAGAAATGTCTTAATTCATGTTGTAGTTTCAGTATAGATATATAAAGTGTCAGAGCACTAGGCAACATGTCTCTCCTCCCATGAACTGACAACTCTGGTAGTTTTTTTATTATTCTGAGGTTTTCTGAGTTTGCGTTTATGTGTTACTCACTGATTGAGTATCACTATGACATGAATGTAGAGTTTAAAGAGTGAAATCGTGAGACGAAAACTGTGTCCCTTTAGACTTACATATAATGTATCTCAACATCCAGCAACATTTGAGTACCTACTGTGTGCTAGACACTATGCTTTTTGCTTTGAAATCTATCATCAAACAAAACAGAAACATACCCTAACTGCATGGGATTTACATCCTAGCAAAATATATATATGTACAATTATTAAAATAGGTCAGAAACTATTAAGTGCTAGAAAGAAATAAAGAGGAAAGAAAGGGTAGGCGTTCGGGAATGCTGGGTAGCAGAGAAGTCTCCCTCTGTGGCCAGGTTCCCATGGCACTTCAGGCCTTTTACTGCCCTGTGCACATGCACATAGAGAGGAGGTGGACGTAGTGGCTTAGTGAGCAAGGCAGGCCGGTCAGGAGAGGCCCCATAGACAGGAATAAGCCAGACCACTGAGAAACTTGTAAGCTACTTTAAGGTCATTATTTTTTTTTTCCTTTTAGGATTACATTTGATGTATATTTTTAATCAGAAAAGGAAAAGTAAGTGAATAGATTCTAGGCATACTAAAACTATCCCTTGGAGGTAAAATGCTAAAAGTAATTTTGATTAAAAAAAAAAATCCTCATTTAAACTCATCAGAATTAGCTTCTTATTAACGCTCTCTAAAGTTGGCTGTGTAAAGTAGGAGTTACAGTATATTAACAGGAGCCCTCATGTTGTATACAGTGGACAAGAATGTTAATCCTTCAACTGCTGCCTTCATGGACATTGAAAGCACTTAATTCTCCTGTTATAAACACCCAAGATCCATTTGCAAAGCTCCTATTGGCATTCTCTCATGAAAAGCACAGCCATGCTAATGTTAGCATACAAATATAATCCAGGACCTATAAAACAGAAATAGAACTGGCAGCAGCTATTGCCTTATACAGACTTAATTACCTTGGCAACCATGACAGAGAAATTAAGACATTTTCAGGACCTGTGTAGCAGATCATACAGTTTAAAAACAATAAAAGTGTGAGAACAACCTGCACGTCATATACCAACTCAGCAAGTGGCTGCAAACACTGAGGAAACCATCGGAGTTACAGTCATAATTCCATACGGCTCAGAAGTAAAGGTGCTTGCAGCTGAGGAGGACAGACTGAGTTCAGTCTGAGGAATCCACTTGATAGAAGAATAAATTCCTTTGAGTTGTCCTTTGACCTCCACACAGAGGTGGCCTGGCCTAGGGTTGGTACTGATGATAGTGAAAATTGGTCAGATTCCAGATATTCTTTGAAAGGCAAGCCACCAGGATTTCCTGACTCTATCAGGAGTGTGATGCCCAAGAAGGAGGAGGTGGGAAGACTCAAGGTTTGAGGCCTGAGTCATTGGAAGGACAAACTACTGTCTCCTAAGAGGAGGACAGCCAGGGACAGAGCAAGTTTGGAGGAATGAGATAAGGGCCTTGTGGTTATTCATGTCATGTCTGAAACAGCCAGCAGTCATGCGAATGGAGATATTCAAGTAAGCATTTGGCATAGAGCTCTTGTGAAAATTCAGTAAAGGGTCTGGGCTAGAGATTCTGGAGTTATGTGTGGTTTCTGAATTCAGGAGACTGGATGAAACTCTCAGTGGTCACAGATTAAAAGGATCAAAGAGTAAGACTTGGACATGTTTGTGTTAAGGGTAGGGTAGGGAGGAACTCAGCAAAAGCTAAAAACGAAAAACTTTGAAAAAGCAAGATGGGAAGTGGCAGGGAACATTAGGAAGGTCACCCCCAAACGTCACATGAAGGGTAATGAAGAGTTACGTGACGCTAACCAAGACAACAAGTTTCAAAGAGGGCAGTTCAGGAAAACTGGTTGCTTAGAAACTAACATCTCACCTAATCCTATACTTGTCAATTGTGTCCATTATATTAAGATTATAGGCTTACAAGAAAGATTACTAATGTTTCCTTTTTAAAAAGTCAACTGCAATTAGTCATGGTGGCACATACCTGTATCCCTGTATTTGAGAGGTGGAGGCAGGAAGACCAGAAGTTCAAGCTTCATTTCCAATTTGAGACCATCCTAAGAGATCACACACACACACACACACACACACACACACACACACACACGCACGCACACACACACGCTTCAAATGCAAAAGAAAATAAAATTTCCAAACTTGTTTTGAGAATAAGCATATATATATTTTTTTTTCTCTCTCTCTCTCTCACATCATGGGGAGAGCCATGAGAGTACTTCATTATCTGCTGAAGTTCAAAGCAAACCAAACTGAAAAACTCATCCCCTAGTTGATCAAAGTTTTAACAAGAACATTGGGCTGAAGGCCCAAGAGTCAACACCTTTTCTATTTCTCCAAGCAGAAACTGTCTTTCTCCTGTGAATCTGTAAACCAGGAATTAAAGTGATTTATTTTTACAGGTTTATTGTGAGAGCCAGATGAAATAGTATGTAAAGTTAACTAATTTATACATTGTAAACCTTATAATCAGAAATCCACTAACTTCCCTTTGATTATTGGCAAGCATTAGGGAAGCTGAGAAGCCCATTTCTCTGAGTATTTTCATCTTTTAATACCAAAGAGAATTAGGAAAAAAATAATAAGAAGAAAAGCTGGGCTTAGAGACACAAGCCTGTAACTCAGGGTGCAGAGGAAGGAAGATTCACAAAGGCTAGCCTCATCTACACAGACTGTCTCAAACCACAGAGGAAGGCGGATACACAATAAATGTGCTTGACTAAGAAACAGTACAGAGGTAAGTTGGTAAAGCTGAGCCTTTCTCAACAGACCCGTATCCCCAGAAACTAATCCAGTGGTTGTAGAGTCAGCTGAAAAAATGAGGAAGGGCTGACAAACCAGGTTTTACTTCCTATGAATGCCACACTCAGAGGGCTGCCCCTAGTCCTTCCCCATGCTTCCCATCGCCGGCCTAGCTGCTTCCTCAACTATCCTGGCAACAGGACAATTCAGAGATTCACAAAGCAAAATTACCTTTAAACCCAGACGTGTTTCCCACCACTCACCACAGTTCCTTGGCTTGATGACTTTCTGAGCTGCACACAGGGGCCCATGAAGGACTTGTGGTGCAGTGATTAGCTGGCCCTCAGGGCCCAGTAATTCTATGAGCCACTGATACTCTGACCAAAACTTTACCTAGAGAGAAATTACAGATATCCCAAGTAGGTTAGAAGCATAAAAAAAAAAAAAAAAAAAAAAAAAAACCACATCCACACATGTAGTTAGTACATACACAAAAGAAAAACCAAAGCAAATGCCATTTTTGTTTAACATTGAACTGTATTTATTTTCCACCACAAAGAACAAAATAAATAAATAAATAAATAAGATAGACAGACAGATAGATAGACAGACAGACAGACAGATAAATGAAAAAGAGAAGGAGAAGAAAGAAAAAGAAAACGGAGCACCTTTGCGTACATTTTGCCAAGGGCAAATGCCTTGACACTGCTTATTGATGTTCCAGTAGAAATAGGCTGAATTTTTGACATTGAAGCAAACAATATAAACTGCTTGAGCACTTGAATCCTAATTTCACATAAAACTCTAAGGCTCTTCTCTCCTTTAAAACTTCCCTAACATTTCTCAAATACTCCTCTGAGGAGAATTTCTGTTTTTTCCAGAAGTATCCCACAAACAGAATGTTCGTCAGTTACTATCATTTTGTTAACCACTTAATTTCTGTGCCCATGTGTTCAAAATTAATATTAACAAGGTCATTACACGAGCTTTTTCCCTGAATAAGATCAGCAAGCTACTTTCAGAGGTGACTTATCAGGCTTTTTATTATGTTTATTTACTGGGGGTGGTGGTGAAGGGGATTCACAGCTGCTGCAGTGGAGTTCAGGGGACAACAATGAGGAGCTGGTTCTCTCCCCCCCACCATGAGGCATCAAGCTTCGTAGTATGCGCCTTTCTCCATTAAGCCATTTTACCCATCTCAAGTATCTTACCTTGACAATTCGTTCCAAGAGTTTAGTCGCCCTTTTAAATATTGCTTTTGTTTGGGAACTCTAAAACATTGAAGCATACCATTGGATTCATTGTTTAATCATCTGATGGGGGAACTATTCTCGTTTGAGAAACCTGTAATTCCTGGAGGTGGGGGTCACCACCAGGACAGTATCTGAGGACGGCTTCAACGTGACCTGCCTTGCTCATCTAGCTCCCCCTGTGTGACCTGGTGATGTTTATTACAGACAGAGCCAAGGGTGCATACTCACCAAGTGGACATAAGGCACAAAGTATCCAAACAGTGCAAGTGGTATCCCAGCAGCCCACACTGAGTAAGCTGTCACCTTGAAGATGGCAAGGTTGAAAACCTTTTTTGGAGGACTGATCTTTCTCCTGGAAAAGAAGGAGAGTCTGCTGCCCTTGCTCGCCTTCTCTTTGGCGCTGGGAGCAAGAGGTCTGTAAGTAAAGCCAGCCAGAAAGAGCACAAACATGAAGATGCAGAGGACTCTCAGTGTGTGAAAGAGGCCCACACTGTCAATCAGGGTCCTTAAAAGCAAAGGGAGCAAAATTGTGAAGGCACTGCTGCCGGCCGTGACGATGCCGTTAACTAGTCCGAGGCGCTTCTTGAAGTAGTGTCCCAAAATGACCAGAGAAGGCTGGTAGGCGAAGGAGCAGCCGCAGGCAAATATGATCCCATAGGTGAGATAGAGAGGTTCGATGGAGCTGCGTGAAGAGGAAGGAGAAAAAGGAGCTTTAGTCTTCTCTACTGTGCTTTATAGGATAAGCCTTAATGGGGGTCTGGAGAAGACAGCTCAGCAGTTAAGAGTACTTGCTGCTCTCGCAGAGGACCTGGACTCAGTACCCAGCACCCACTCTGTTCCCAGCTTACAACCACCATAACTCCAGTCCCAGGGCAGCCCACGGCCTCTTCTGGCCTCTGTGGGCACTAGGCATGCATGTGGTACACAGACATACATGCCATTAAACACCCATACCCATTCAGTAAAAAATAAGTCTTAAAAGGAACTCCCTTAGCAAAAACAGATCTTGTCAACATGGTCTCAAAAACTAAAAAACAAAAATGGGGAAAGGCTTAATAAATCAAGAATATAGCAGTAAAATATTTTAATTTAATCTGAGTGTATGAAAAATGACCATTAAGGTCGTTAGTGACATAGCTCCCCTTTCTCTGCCAAGGATTTCTGGTGAACCATACATAACATCAGGTAAGACCTAGGCTCTCCACAGCTCAGAAATAAAGACAGCTTCCAGGAAGGGACAATACAATCTTGTTCAATAGTACTTTCAAATTACAATTTAACTCTGCACACTCGTTATTCTCATGGCACTTTCCCAGGTGCTTACCAAGCAACATAGTCAAAGGAAAGACTGTGTCTGGCGCTGGCGCTTCAGTGTTATGTCAAGAACATTTTCATGAGGAGCGGTTGCGCTCCCCTCCCACCCCCACTGCCCTAGGGCTGTCAACCAACCTTCGCCCTGTATTGCGTTGTTCCCAGCATTGTGCAAGATAACAAGAAATCATATTCAGATTGCTTTAAGACTGACTTAAGCATGCCCAGCACTAATGTCAATCTGCAAGCTTTTACGGTGACTTGTTATTTATGTATCAAAAGAATAATAAAGAATACAAGAATTTCTATTTTAATCAAATACATGCTTTGAATTAAGGTAAGAACTAAAACAAGTTGGTTGTTTCTTTTTATGCAAAGTCCAATTCAAAAGGCTATTTATCAGTAGACAGATAAAGCTGGTTAATAATTAAATTTTGGACAATACTACTCACTTACCAATATGCTGAGGTAATCAAAGGGAGTCAAATCTGATCAAATTAAGGCATGTTGGCAATCCTCTGAGATGCCCTTCCCCTTCATTAGTTCACATCCAGCACCACCTTCAAGAGGTACTTCTAGGCCTTTCCAGTTAATCTCACTTCACTCTCATTGCTATTTACCCAATCTCTACTCTTGGTTCAATAGCCACATTAAACAGATATTTGGCGGGAAAGTGTTTGTGTCTTGAAGTTACTCACAGTCTACTTAAAAGACTACTTCTATCTCTATCCCCAGCAAGACTTTTACAGGACAAACAGTGCTTCGTTTAAAAAATATATTTTAGTTATTTTTGTTTTATGTGTATGGATGCTTGGCCTGAATGTACATCCGTGAACTGTGTGTGTGTGTGTCTGATGCTTACGGAGGCCAGAAGAGGGCATTGGATGCCCTGGGCCTGGAGGTATAGATCTTTGTGAGCCACCATGTGGATGCCGGAATTGAAACCAGGTTATCTGCAAGTGCAGCCAATGCTCCTAACTGCTGAGAAATCTCTCCTGCCCCTGCTTCATTCTGTCTGGTTGGAGTGGGGAGCTGACTTTTGTTTTTAGACAAGGTCTCTCACTGTATGGCAGAGATTAGCCTCAAACTCATAATGCTTCTTTCTGTACCAAATCTTCCACATAAGCAGTTTTCCAAATAATTGCAAATTCCTGAATTCTCAAAATTTTAAAGGAAAAAGTAAAATCTATTATACATTTCTCTGCCTCCCTCAATGTATAGATTAGAAATAATATTGATAACATCATCATCACAAACATCAAGTGCTATAGTTACTCCACAAAATGGAGATGATAAGATCAGATAGCTGTGTGTGTAAATAAGAAGCATTCTCCTTAGCATGACTTGAAATCAGTTAATGAGATTGGCTTCACATCTTTCCACGTACTGTGTCTGTGTCACTGTGCTCAGAAAACTTCTGTTACTTATGTCCGTCCTCACAACAAATGGCTGGTTTCAGTGGTTGAGTAGTGACAATTTCGGAATTCTGGTTTATTTTAAAACACAGAAATATTATAGGAATGTGTTTTAATTTTAATCCCAGGTGTGGGAATAGGGGGCTACTTTGGACTGTCCACAGCAGCTGACTATGGTTTGTCTCATGCCCTAGCAGAGGCATGGTTTTGGCAGCTTTAGATGGTGTCTGTGTTTGGAATTCTGGGAACTTTTCAGATGCTAGAAAAGTGTGTGTGTGTATGTGTATATATATATAGTGTGTGTGTGTGTGTGTGTGTGTGTGTGTGTGTGTGTGTGTGTGCTATATGTGCATATATGCACTAGAGCCTCTCCATAGGTTGGTGGCTGTTTGGGGTGGGGGGTTGTTTACAGTTTGTTAGTAGCTATGGTCAAAGAAGAAACAGAAGGAAAAAAAATTAGATTCATGGATTTTTCTAATTCCTATCTCCCCTCTATCCTTGTTTCTCTCCTATCTAGTATAAGGGGATGGAACGGGGAGGTGGAGAAAGGATGGGACAAAGAAGAATCCACAAAGTAACAAAGACCATCCATAGTTAAGGTTTGACATCTAACTGCAGTGTAAGTTAGTAAGATTACAGGATTCTTTTTACCACATACAAAGGATTCAGAGCCAGGACGCTAGAGAAAGCTTCCTAAGAAGGCAGAAGTTGAAACACAAGGAAAACAGACCTGCCACCTCTTGCTAGTAACTCACACCTGCCTTCTCCATGCTACTCTGTTGGAGAAGGGTCTTGTGCACTGTGTTTTCAGATGGTGGTTTCAGTGCCCTGAGATCTGCCACAGGCATTGTTATAAAAGCTGGACCATCTCCTATATCCAGGATTGAATAAAAAAAGTTTCTGACAGCCTGTAGCTGGGCAGAGAGAAAAATGGAGGGGAGGGAGAAAGGCACTCTGGGAAGAAGAAAGAGGAAGACATTTTTTTGCCAGGAGACATGAGAGGAGACGATCATGACTACAGGCCTGGAAGGTATAACTAGCCATGTGGCTGGATGGAGCTAGGTGGTCAGGTTAACTTAGATAAGCTGGCAGAAAGTCTGCCTAGCCAAGACCAAAGCTTTGAAATATGAAAAGGTGTTAGTGTCTTTATTTTTATCCACCAGGATCTCACAACAATACCCTGGGTCTTCCACAACACTCTCTGATGATCTGACAGCTTTGACAGGCAGGTTAAACAATCAAAATGAGTCATGTGAGGATATTGTGTATATTAAGGTCAATGTGATCTCAAAAATTAGTTCTCCTGGACTTTGAGACACGAAGATAGAAGGAGAAGGATAAACTGGGTTACAATATAAATTTTTTTTTTCACAAGCCAAAAAGTTTGAAAAACAAATGTTTGGTGTTTGTATGATTTCTTACTGCACTGGATACCAGGCTTTATAGGCTTCCTTCTTCGAAGTCGCTCTCCATGCCCCCAGAATAATAAAGCTACAGGTTCAGGAAATCAGTACAGAGAACTCCAAACAAACTTCTTTTATTTTTAAATAAGAAGTTTAGAAGCAATCAGGTGAAAACCTTTTTTCTATTAAGAAGTATAATTTTTAAAGAACCTGAATGCAATTTTAAGTGGAAAAGTACAAAAGCTAACCGCTTACTTTCAATTGAGGGAAGGTTGTGTGTGGTGGAGAGTGAAATGAGAAAAGCTAAGGATTATGCTGAGTGGATGTGAAAACCTTAAACACGGCCAATATCGCAAGCTAGATCCCATCTTACTCCACCCAAAACTAAATCGTGTTTTTCAACCAAGGAAACATGAGGGGAGGTAGGAAAGATAGAGACCCAGGTGGGAAATGAGGTCACACCCCTCTCTGGAGGAGGGTCTTCAGGCTTCCCCTCGGCAGTGGTGGCCTGCTCCCCATGGTGCTGGGTACAGCACTGTTCCTCTAACTGAGAATTCTCAGAACCACACCAAGAACTGACCAGTGACGTTAGTGCCTTCGGACGCCTGAATCTCTCCTTCTAATAGAAGTAGTATATGACATTGAGTTTTCAAGTGTGTTAGGCCACCTCGTTTTGTCATGTCATTAAAATATTTTAATAGGTTCTTTTTATTTATTTATTTTAAAGCACACACTGAAATTCCCTACCTGGGTTGGCACTGATTTAAAAGACCTTATTCTCATCAATGAAAATTTTTTCCTGTCAAGCTTATTACTTTAAAATATCACTGACTTGGATCCTTTATCTCTAAGATGGCAGCGACTGTAAACTGAAGCCACAGCATTAGATAACTCATAGATATAACTTGATTCCTTTAGGGGTTTTATGTAAGCAGATTAAAACAAAAGGAAGCACATTTTTCTTGGCTCCAGTGAACACATATATCCTGACATCTAACATTGGCACTGCAAGCAAACATAGTTAAACGCTCAGCCTCTGGCATGCTGCTATGAATGACAGTTCTGATCTATGGAATGGTAAGATTTTAAGGGAGGTTTGCTTGTAAACAGTGAGGCCTCTGGAACATGTTTAACAGCTCTCGCAAGCAACGTAAAGCAGCTAGGTCCTTACCTTACAAAAGAGCTGGACATGAGTCCGATGAATCCCACGGCAGCGCCAACGACAGCTGTCTTCCGGCAACCAAACATGTCTGTGAAGACACTCACGATGGGGCAGCAGAAGAAGATCATGCCCATGGACAGCGAGCCTACCCAAGCTGGAAAAGAAGAGGGGAGTGTTACAGCGCTGCTAACCGTATTTAGAGAGCGGCTAATACACACGGCAAAGGAGAGCACTGACGCACACTGAGAACCAGAAGTCCTGCAGTGAGTTGACGGCAAGTCTGAGCACCAGCTTGAGTACTGCGGTTTATATGGTAACTGTACTTTAATGAACTCTTGAAAAGTTTGTGCTTTTAACTTAATTAAACATTTTTATGACCCTATCTGATTGATATGGTGTAGTTTTAAGCAAATTCTAATCTATGGAACAAAATTCATTAAATAAAAACATTTTTAAATGAAAGTTGGGCATGGTGGAGCACACCTATGATCCCAGCACTCTAGAAGATAAGACACTTGTGTGACACTTTAGACCCTCAACACACACACACACACACACATACACACACACACACACACACACACACACACACACACATGTGTATATATATTTATATATTTAGTTAAGGAATTTATACTAGGGAGGTCAAAATCTGAATAGTGAAATCTGGATAGTGATTATAAGTCTTTGTTTTAGAATGTTTATTTTAGACAGGAGCTCACTCTGGCCTGCTGGCCTAGAACTAATTATGATGGCAATAACTGGCCTGAAACCTAGCCCATTTCTCCTATCTTATCTAGCCTTCCAGACTCCGAGAATTACATATGTGGGCCCCCATGTCTGGTTGTGATTAACCTGCGTGGAAAAGATTACTGTCATTTTGGAACAAGCAGTCAAGAAGTGATCATCTGTGTAGCATCTGGGCTTAGGTTTTGAGGTTTTTGGTTTTTTTTTTGTTTTTTTTTTTGCTTTTGTCCTAAAGAAAGTGATGTATTCATAGTACATTATTTCTGACCTAGACAATAACCACAGGGTATTTACTTTGCCATTATTTATAAAATTATACTGTTCTATTTTCCTCTCTGCAAGTATGTTATTTTCCACAACTTAAGAGGGGGAGGAAAGTGGTGGGAATCAAAATCATAGGTTCTGGTTCTGATTCTATAAAACTCAAAACAAAAGAAGAAGGCATTAGGTACAATGACAGTATGTCAAAGAGCTGAATGATCTGTCATCAAGCCTGGAAATTCTTGCCAAAAAAGGATAATAGATAAGGCAATAGGGCCTGCATGCATGTGGTTGTACAACAAGCCCCATAATAAGGTGTCTGTGAGAGGTCACCTTCCTTCTGAGGTGGTTTAAGTATCTTGGAGATAGATTAGACTTACTGAGGATTGAAAAAACATGTCAGTGAAGCTCAGTGCCCGAGCAACACACTTCCTAATTTAAAGCCTTGATGACGGTAAGAATGCAGGTGATGGATGTCTAGCTTCCCTCAGCCCTCCAAGTCTCCTGATGTGTTTCTGTATTCCCTTAGCAGCAGCACAAAGGCCAAATCCCATACAAAGGCCCTTTCTTAACACTAGGTCTAAATGAAGATGACCAAATTGTTAACTTCACTTTTTAATTTTCTGACACAAGGTTTCTCTGGGCAGCCCCGACTGTCCTAGAACTCCCTCTGTAGACCAGGCTGGCCTTGAACTCAGAGATCCACCTGCCTTTGCCTCCCAAGTGCTGGGATTAAAGGTGTGCGCCACCACACCAGTCAGCTAAATTGTTCTTCAATCACATATTGACATAGTTAAATTGCCATTGTTCTAATTTACTTCCTTTGTCAGAAAGAAGACTGTTATCTTAAAACATTATGTGGGTGCTGGGATCGAACTCACTCCCCACAAGAGCACAAGTGCTCTTAACCACACTGCAGCTCTCCAGCCTGTTGCTTTATTTCTGCTGTACTAACATCAGCACTATGCTGAAGAGAACATCTACAGAGAAGACAAGGGGCGCCATGGAACCAAAGTAACTAAACTGGAGACTGCAGGATGGTCAGCCAGACCGTCAAGGAAACCTGCTCCACCCAACCTGCGCCTACACCAAGAAAAACATCTGTCTGCTAAGAAGCAACCTAGAATAAACATCAGCGGAGGCTCTCGGGGAGGGAGACAGCAAACTGGAAAAAAAGGCTTTGGCATCATCAGCAAAGGGTGAGAATGAAGCTGAAGAGGGAGAATGAGCTGTGTGAAAAATTTGGGTTGAATTTATGTATTTCTTGGGACAACTTCTCAAAGCTATTTTTACTAAGTAGTTTGTGAGAGCTAATTTTTAGAGCTCTAGTCTCTCTCTCTGACTCATGCTTTTTTGGAAATTTCCATCATCCTCAAGTAAAATAAATATTGATTGAATGTTGGAAGCTGTCTATAAAGTTGATTCAGTATTCCATACATTTGCTTTAAATTTTTAGTCTTGTGCATACTGTGGTATTTTTATAGAACATAGTTTAATTTTTTCATAGTTTTTCTAGAGCAAATATCTAGGTTTTATGTGATTTAAAAAAAAAAAAAAAAACATGGGTAATCATGGCCACCTGCTAATTATCGGTGGCTTAGAATAAAAGGTTTCTGATAAGCATTGTGGCTCACCTGGGACTCTAACACTCAGGTGGCCGAAGCAGGAGGATGGTTGTGAATTCAAGTACAGCCTGAGCTACAAAGATGCTGTTTTTTTTTTTAAAAAAAAAAAAAAAAAAAAAAAAAAAAAACAACTCATAGTAATAATGTAATCCCATTTAAAAAAAAAAAAAAAACAACTTAGTAATCCATGCTTAAAAACCAATTTACTGGGATAGGTATGGTGACATTCACCTTTAATACCAGCACTGAAGGCTGAAGCAGGAGGATCTCTATGAGTTTGAGGTTAGCCTGATCTACATAGTAAGTTCCAGGGCAGCCAGAGCTACAAAGTGAGACAATGTCTTAAAAATAAACAAATAATACAAACAACAATGGCAAAAAGAAACAATAAACTTTTAAAACCCAGCAGAACAGACGACAACTCAACCATAACAAAACCTCTGCAAAAGTCTGCCTAGAAAGGTGGAATCTAGAAAAGATCATCCTGAGTGAGGTATCCCAGAAGCAGAAAGACACACATGGTATACACTCACTTATAAGTGGGTATCAGACATATATAGGGTAATTATGCTAAAATCTGTACACCTAAGGAAGCTAAGCAAGAAGGAGGACCCTGGATAAGATGCTCAATTTTCATTCAGAAGGGCAAACGAGATGGATATCAGAAGAGGAAGAAAACAGGGAACAGGACAGGAGCCTACCACAGAGGGCCCCTGAAAGACTCTACCCAGCAGGGTATCAAAGCAGATGCTGAGACTCAGCCAAATTTTGGGAGAGTGCAGGGAATCTTATGAAAGAAAGGGGAGATAGAAAGACCTGGAGGGAACAGGAGCTCCACAAGGGGAGCAACAGTACCAAAAAAATCTGGGCACATGGGGTCTTTTCTGAGACAGATACTCCAAACAAGGACCATGCATGGAGATAACTTAGAACCCCTGCACAGAAGTACCCCAAGGCAAATAATAGGACCAGGGACCATCTCTGACATGAACTCATGGGCTGGCTCTTGGATCACCTCCATCTGAGGGGGGAGCAGCCCTGCCAGGCCAGAGAGGAAAACAAAGAAGCCAGTCCTGATGAGACCTGATGAACTATGGTCAAATAGAAGGGGAGGAAGACTTCCCCTATCATTGGACTGGGGGAGGAGCATAGGAGAAGAAGAGGGAGGGAGTGTGGGATTGTGAGGGGAGGGAGGAGGGGCCTACAGCTGGGATACAAAGTGAATAAACTGTAATTAATAAAATAAAATAAGAAGTTAAAAAAAAAGTCTGCCTAGTGTTTGGTAAAATTATACCCGGTCTTATCTTTTCTAAAAATATATTATCTTTAACAAGAAAAAAATTCTTGAAAATTAGAAATCACACCTCCCTGCTGATTCTGTAAGAATACATAAAAAAGAAAGGCAAAAATCAAAAGATAAGTATTAAGTAGTCTAACAGTCATTAAATAATGATTTTGTGCTAAAGAAACAAGTGACCTCATAGGACATTAAGTCTGTGCCAAACATGAACACTTACAGGCACCAACGACAAGATATAATCATGTACCTTTTCCTGACTAGCCCCTTATTGAGGAAACAACTTCCTCTGTCACTGGATGAGCACTTTAGCAGATTTGCATGGTCTTTTTTTGTCCATGCTAAAGCAAAGCCTGCAGCCACACCAGCTAACAAGCTAGTCTTCATTTAGTAACTGAAGAGTTTCTAGACCTAGGGAGAATAGGAAAGACTTGGGATCAGCTGCTCCCCGTTTCTCCCATCCCTTGCTGTTAGTTCTCTCCAAGGTGGGTGTGGAAAACTGAGGCTGGGGAGGAAAGAAAGGACACTGCACAACAGAGAGACGGCGGTGAGTGGAGCTGGCTTTCTCAGAGTCCTACCTCTAAGTTCCTTGTAGCTACAGCTCTACCGACAGCTTTTTCGGCTGTCATCCACAAGACTATTGGAGCCGCACACCCTCCAGGCAGTCTATTTTGGCAGGAGTCAGAACAGCTGTGGGGTTGCCTCTCAGCTACTTGGCCTCCTCTGATCTGTAGGAAGCACTCACAAATCCTCTCAAATCCCAACCTGGCCACCTCCTGTCCAGCTCTTGCTGTGGGAGCTGCTGGCGGGCAATAGCTCTCTCCTTGCTGGACATTTTCATTTGTTTGTTTTCTGTGCGTGGGCATTTTGCCGCGTGTATGTCTGCTTACCCTGTGCATGCAGTGCTGGAGGGGTCAAGGAAGCATGCCTTCAGACTGAAGTTACAAGCAGTTGTGAGCTGCCTTGTGGCTGCCGAGAATCAAACTCGTGTCCTCTGGGAGAGCAGCCAGTGCTCTTAACCACCGAGTCATCTCTCAGCCCCTCCTTCCTGAAGCGTTTGCAGGGGCTGCCTGAACCTCCATGCTCCCCAAAGGATGGAGGTTTTCTAGACACTCTCTACCAGACACCAAGTGCAAAAGCATATTATACTCTTGTGCTTCTTCCTTCATAGAGGGAAAAGGCACATACATTTCTGAAGGAACTTCACAAAATGTTCTTTCTAACAAGAATCCTTCTAGGGGTTTTGGAGTTTTCATTACTATTCTAAAGATTCACTCCAACCCCGGAGCACCTATCAAGTGGAATAGTCACTTCTGAAATCACATGACTAGACCTTCGTGCCTCTGCTGCAGTTTCTGTAGAATATTCTGTAATTATTAAAACAATAGCAACTTATAAACAAGTAGATTTTTAAATGAGTAATTATTTGCTATTGGAAACACATAAGATATTATTTTCTGTAAAGCTTGAACATGTTAACTAAAGAATTCAAGCGGTGGGACTTGGGATGCAATTCTGTTGGTAAAGTGCTTGCCTAGTATGCAGTAGGCCCTAGGTTCAATCCCCAGGACTACATAAAGCAGGCATGGTGATCCTGACCTCTAATTCTAGCACTCATCAGTGGATAGAGACAGGATAGTCATTATTTCCACGTCATTCCCAGCAACACAGCTAGTTTAATACCTACTTGTACAAAATAACACAGGCTCTGCCTCAACAAAACAAACAAACAAACAAACAAACAAGCAAACAAAGAATAGAACTTGAGGGCCAGGGATTGGAGTGGCAGGTGCTCCAAGCCATGCCAGCACTCCAGAGGTCAGCCTGGTCTCCACAGAGGGTACCAGAACAGCCAGAGCTACATAGTAGAGACCCTGTTTCAAAAGAGAGAGTTCCGCTGTTTTGTTGATTTTGTGTGGAATGTGAGTGCCTAAATGTCTAGCTTATATGTGGATTGTGCCTTGATAAACAGAGAGCGGGAATGAGCCTAGCTGAAAGACACTGGATTGTAGAAAAAGTTCCCGAACTAGATCAACCTGTATATTATAAAGATGTTACTTTTACAGAGGGAGGTGGATTCAAGCAAGCATAGTCTACATAGCAAGTTCCAGGCCAGCCAGGACTATATAAAGACTGTCTTAAAAAAAAAAATTCAATTTACATAAAAATGATGATACAGACAGTAACCACATAGCCTATCCTACATGTAGTTTCTTTTTTTAAAACATCGTCCATTAGAATATTTTCAAGTAACTAAGGAACCAATATTGGTAGTGTCCTTTCTTTTTTTCTTTCTTTCTTATTTATCTATCAATCTATTCATTCATTCATTCATTCATTCATTCATTCATTTGCTGCTGTTATTATTTAAGACAGGGGTTCTCTGTGCAGCCCTAGCTGTCCTGGAACTCTCTCTATAGACCAGGCTGCCCTTAAACTCACAGAGAGCTGCCTGCCTCCGCCTCTCAAGCGTGCTGGATTAAAGGTGTGTGCCCCCATGCCTGGCTTTATTCAGATTTCTTTAGACTTAACTAATGTCCTTTTTTTTTTTTGGTTTGGGGACCACATTCTATTTAGTGGGCATTTCCGCTTGGGCTCCTCTGACTCTAATAGTTTGCCTGGCTTCCCCTGTGCTTGAGAACACTGGCCGCACTGGGGACCAATCGTCAAGTGCATGGCTGGACACACCGAGGTGTGTGGAGAGCTGCATGCTCTGCGCAGAGGAGCAGCGCAGTCACGGGGGCCACTTTATCACCTTGACCACCTTGCTGAGTAGTGTTTTCAGGATCCTCCACTGTGAAGTTGCCTTACTCCCCCCCTTTTTACACTGCACGTTTGGAAGGGAGCCACTGAGTACAGCTCACTCTGCAGGAGTGAGGGAGGATTAAGCTCTCCTTTGGGAGCAAAGCATTTGCCTACATAAACTTTGGAGTCCTCCTGTACGAGAGATCAGATTATTCGTCCACATCCATTTCTTTACATTAGTAACAGGCTCATGGACAGTGATGTGGTTCTGCTTATAGTCAAATCTTGTTGAGTACTGGAAGCTCTTTGATGGCTTTTTTTTTTTTTTATTTGGCTTTGTCACTCTTGGACACAGATCCCACTTACATAATTTTGGGGGTTTATTTACTTACTTACTTACTTATTTTTGAGGCAGGGTTCTGTGTAGCCTAGACTGGCCTCACACTCAGAATCCTTCTGTATCGGGCGTCTATGTATCAGAACTACATTAAGTTAACCTTGAACTCCATTATCCTGGACTCATCCTGGGCTTCATCCTGTCTTCACTGTAACCATTCACTCCAACAGTGAGAACTCAGAAATAGCCTTTTCATCTCAGAAAGTTAGGAAGGTAATGCTAGGTGTGGTGGCACAGGCCTATAATCCCCACAATCAGGAGGCTGAATCAGAAGCT